GTAATTAAGTTAAAATTAATGTTATAAAATTTAAAGTAAAAATATATAAAAAGTCATATGCATGGCATGATTAAAACTATGCACAGAAAAAAGAGGAAAGAAATACATCAAAATATTAATAATGGTTGTCTTTAGTTAGTAATATTATGGTGATTTTTTCTCCTTTTTATAGTCTCATAGTTCCCAAATTGTTCATTATTCTAATGGAGGGGGAAAGCTTCCTTGGATAAAAAGCTAATCTTCCTTGGAAGAGGAAAAATTTTACTTGCATAGAAAACTTTTTCTGGGTTTAGTTGACAACCAATCCTTTTAATATCCGTATCCAAGAAATATACTATTTTCTGGATAGGGCACTTGGAGCAAGGAATATGAAGAATGTGAGCAAGACCAGCCAAAGAGAAACTTGGCCTGCTTGAAACCTACACTAGCTCCCTACCAGATAAGAAGCAGATTGCCCTGCCTGATACTCAAAGTTCTTCATAATTTGTCACCGTGTATTCAAACGGTATATGAGCACTTCTCAGCTGAACCTCTCCGTCTGCCTTTCTTTTTGCCTGTTGAAGTCCTTCCATCTCTCAGAGAGTGATTTAATTTACTTTCATCCATGACGACTTTCCTGATCCTCTGATGACCCCAGCCTCTACTCTTTCTCCTTTTCTTAAGGTGTTGATATAGCACTTAAGTCTGCACCACCTTTTTTCTATTAAGCCAAATCTAATTATTTTGTTAATTACTCATGGGTAAGTAAACATCTCCCAGCTAGACTTTAAGTTCTTTGAAATCAAGAATTTAGATGGTCTGAGACAGTAGTCATTCAACAAATACATACATACATATAGAGAGAGAGAAAGAGAGAGAAAGTGTAGTTCTAAAGCCAGGTTGGTATTATATTCACACTCTCGGTGATGTTATCTAAATAAAATGTGTTGCCTTTGTTTTAAAATGTTCCTGATGATCTTCCATCACCAGGACATGCACTTTTTGTTTAATAGCAATGTTACTGTATTTTTGCTTATTAATTCATACCAATTCTTCTGTCCCCCCTGGGATTAAACAGATTGAACTCCAAGATGCCTCACGAAGATTCAGGATACAGTCTACAGTCATATAAAGAACAAAAAGAACAAGAACAAAGTAAGACCAAAAAAAAAATGACCTCCTAGGAATCAAACTTAAAACTCATCATGAGACCCTACTTCTTTTATAGTCTTGTCTGAACAACAAATGCAAATTTGTGTCTCCATTTTATGGCCTTATTTAGACAGTGGGCTTTAGTCTATCGATATCTCCATTAACCTCAAAAAGAATTCTCCAGTGCAAATGGCTCAATACTTTAGAAATGATGGACTAAAATGACTATGTTCCTGTCTGCCATCAAATACTACTCCAGTACTTAGAGATAATGAGCATTTGTATTATAGCAACCTGCCTCCTGAGACACCAACAAGAGTTGCCTATCTTAAGAGAAAATACATAAATCATAAATGAAAGCAAAGAAAATGACCAAGCAAGGGACAAAGAAAAGCCTAGCATCCATTATTTTTGCAGAAGCACACAAGGTCAATATAATTGTTGACTCTGAAGGGCAGGGCAAAAACAAATCAATTCAGTTTCCCACTATACAGAACTGCATTTTGCTACAACACACATATTTTTCGTAAGAGTCAATGCTTGTCCAGATTCCACTATTACTAGCTGAGTGATCTTGAACCTTCTCCGTATTTCAGTTCCTTAGTCTGTAAAATGAAGTCATCACCTGCTATGCCAAATCACACAGCTATAATGAACCAAAGAACATTATCAGTCTGGGGAGTGACACACCCCACAAAAACAGTTCAGTCACACACCCCATGAACTAGATAGCTGTTCTTACTGCAAATGTTTCCCCAAAGTTCAAAAAAAAGAAAAAGATTTCCAGTTGTTTTTTTTTTTTTTTTTGCTTTCCTAATTGACTTCTGCAACACTTGAGTATCCACCATATACCACCACCAAAAACGTGTGGCACATCCCCTGTTATAACCTAGCTCTCCTAGGCAGAGTTGTCCAGATATTTTTTGGCATATGCTTTCTAAGAAAACAGGGGGTTTTTTTTCACATGATTCAAAGAACGCTCTTACTTTCATTCTAAAGGAACAATAATTCCATATACAGGAAGTTTACAGGTTGTTGTTGCTGCTGATTGAGATTACTCCTATAAAAGTTAATTGTATGTTTAATATCTAATGGACCCATACATGTATGTACACTTGGACACACTACTCCTTAAAACAGTGGAAGGTCCGTGGGTTTTGGAGTCAGAAAGACATATGTTAAAATTCCTGTTCTGTGACCTTGAGCACGTAAATTTAACTTCCCTGCTCCTCACTTTCCACATGCTTCTAGGTTGTTGTGATGATTTAATAAAATAATATATAAAAAAAGTGAGCGCCTAGACTCTGAAAGTATTATTTCCTACCTCCCAAAATCTTTTCCTCCTATGCCAGAGCCACTCAAACGCACCCTGAATACAAGACAACTTGGATACAGCATCGTGCTCACACATCAGCGGGGGAACGCCATGCGATGCAAAATTGGGTGGGTGATGGCATGAATTATGCATCCAATGGAGCAAGAAGTCGAGTAACAGAGATATCGACAAGGGCCCCAGACTTCACTCGCACGTGCGAAAAAGACACTAATCTGACACACTTTGAAGATTGCACTGCACACTCACGGAGGTTTGTACCAGGATGTGGGGAAAGCACGGAATTACAAACCAGACAAACCAGCCAGCAGGGAGCCTCCTTGTTCATCCCACCCGACCCCGCCCGCCCGGGTCGCCCATCTGGAGCCTAGAAACCGAGGTGAGAGCACAGCAACCGACCTCGGCCGCCCACCCTCCCCCATTCCGCCCAAACCTCTCGGGGCACGAATGGTGCTGAATCATTAGCACGAACTACAGCAGCCCCTGGTTCTGCTGTTCCCGCGGGGGACTCTGTCCCCAGAGCAGTGACCGTCCCGGGTGGGGGCCGAGACCTCGGGGCGTGGGGACGTGAAAGGGGGTCGAGGAGGATCCGGGCAGCAGGTACTCACCCGGGTGAGGAGAGCCCAGCCCCGGTGCTCGCCTCCCCGCTGCAGGCGTCCCCCTGCGGCTCCGCGCTCCCCGCTTTCCCGCGGGCGGCGGTCCGCGGGCTGGGCAGCCTGCGCCGGGGTCCGGAGCTGCCCTGCCCACCCACAGCCCGCGGCAGCCACGGCTCGGGGCTCAGGGGCACGACCGCGAGCAGCTGGAGCAGCTGTCGCTGCCGAAGGGGGTGGCGGCTACCCACGGGCCAGACCATTCGCGGGCTGCGACCGGGGGAGCGCGGCGTGCGGAGCGGAGCGGGCGCCCCGGCGCCGAGGGCGGGCGACGGCCGGGAGATACCAAGGACGAGGGGAATCCTCTGCCCCTCCTGCGCCAGGAGGGCGTGGGGACAGGAGGGACCAACAGAGGAGCAGCAGCTCTTCCTGGCTGTTAGCTGAAGACAGCCCTGTGGCTTTTCCGGGCACCCCCCTCCCGGTTTGCCGTGGTCCCGCTCGGGGCTCCTTTAGAACGCGGCAAACAGAAGACCTAGCAACGGAGCGCTGGGCGGCGTCCCCTCCTAAGGAGATGCGAAAGGGCGGTGGCCTGAGCCCCGCCTGCGTGCACCTCCTTCGCCGCCGCGGGGCCTGGGGCACCGGTTCCTGGTGCATACGTTAGCACAGACATCATGCTGCAAGGCAGAGGGGGGCATCTTGAGTCACTGCAGGGGCTCCTCACATCCTTTCTCCAAGCATCTTTGTGGAGCAAGAGGGTATCCAAGGCCAGCTTGAAAGTTAGAAAATAAAATCAAGTGGGGCCCCGTCCTGTAGGTGCTTTGTCGATACGGGGAAGTGAGGGACTGTTTTGAATGACAGTCATTGCTCTGCACATGCTGAACCACCGCAGTTGGAATACGTCGGTTTAGGAAACCGTTTTAACATATAGATCTATGAAAGATTATTAAAGGCATTTAAAAATATTTGAGGTTCATTGTTCACCATTTTAGAGATTGTTTCTGGAATGGGGAGGGAATCCTGTCCGCATATGAAACGAACTTTATAGAACTGGAGAGAGAAGTCCCCACACGTGACGTGCCTTGGACTTTTATGAAAGCACTTTTGTGGTGCCTGCCCCTGTCACAACCAGGCTTACACAGGTTCATTCCAGACCATGGTGGAGATGGAGACAAGTGTGCAGTTTCCCCTACAGGAAGGAAAAAAAGAAGTGTTGGCAACTACCTATGAAATATAATTTCAGGGAGCCAAAAAAAAGGGTTTCCAAATGCCTCCAAAAATATGAAATTCCACACTTAAAAGCCATTTTCTCTGGGTTAGGATTTTGTCCTCTTTTGAGTAAATTAACATAAATCGAGCCCCTATTATGGACCAAACACTCTGCTGAGAGTATTTCCAGTTTCATTCCTTTACTTATTCTTTTAAAAACTGTGAAAATTGGTAATACTGTTGCTGTTTCTTAAATAGAGAATCTGGGCTGGGAGAGTTTGTTGTGCTGGGTTAACATCTCAGACGGTATAAGTGGCAGAGCAGGCGCTGCAGCCTAGAGTTTTGACTAGTGCCTTTCCACTAGAACGCCTGTGGGAGACATACACCAAGCCTTATCGCACCCACGATTGGCACTTGAATGTGAGATTGTCCATCCTTTGTGAAATCTGGGTTTAATGATGGAGGAATCTTAAGGTGGATGTTCCCCTGAGGTAGGAATAGGGGTCAAAAGGAAGGGGCTGGACTTCACCCAGAATTAGCCTGGGAAACATCAGTGTCAGAAATGCACTGTTAGGGTCACGTGAGGGTGGGGAAGAATTCCCCATTACCTTTTTGCTAGTCATTTTACACTATGTTACACTTTACACTACACTTAAACTATTATTACTATATTACACTTTACACAGTCTTCCAATGCAAGGAAGGAGCCAGAGTTTTTATTTTTTATTTTTATTTTTTATTTATTTATTTATTTTTTTGTACAAGTTTACTTTTAATAGATGAGGAATGATTTGCAAGTTTTCCATGGGAGAATTCAATCCACTTGTTCTCCCAAGTTGGCCCATTTTGGCATACTTACTGAAAAGGACCAGGCTGGCATTGGTGACCCCCAGGTTGTTGGCAGCCACACAGGTGTAGTTGCCATAGTGTTCCTCAGTGACGTTGGTCACCGTCAGGGAGGACTGGCCTTCCGTGCTTTTAATCTCAAGGCCATTGGCACTGGTTATCCTGGTGTCATCTCGGTACCACTCAAAGTCAGGCGCAGGCACTGCTGAGGCCTCACATTTGAGCGAAGCTTGTCGCCCTGTAGTGGCTTCACTGCTCTTGGATTCTGTGATGGTGGGAGGATAGTTCACAGTGACCTTGACTTGTTTGACATCCGCCGAGGAAACCTCATTGGCAGCTTTGCACTCATATTTGCCTGACTGCTCCCTGGTGATGCCGAGGATCTCCAGATATTCTTCTTCTCCTTCAAATTCTCTTCCAGTTGGTGTAAGGTGTCTCCAGGTAATAACAGGTTCAGGACGGCCATTGGCCATGCAGACCAGGGTCACATTGCTGCCCTCATTCACAGTGACATCCGAGGAGATGTTAGAGATCTTTGGTGGAACTTGCACGATCAAGTAAACTTGAGAGGTCTTGGGCTCATGCTGTGTCTGAACCTAGCAAGTGTAGGAACCCTCATCATAGACATCCACTTGCTGGATTCGGAGGCTGTATTCCAGAGAATGGCGCTTCTCCAGCTCAACCCAGGGGTCCAGAGACCACTTGTCATGCCCAGCAAAAATGATGCCAGAACGGTTCAACCATGCCACCTTTGAGTTCTTGTCTTCTACAATGCACCTAATAGGCCCTGAGTGCATCTCGGCGAGGGGTGAGACCTCCCCAGGGACTGGGACATTGGCGGCGGCCATTGTTGTGGCCTGGTGTGAGCGTTCTCCAGAGTTTTTAAATAGACCTAATGTCATGGGTCGTCATATACCTTACCAGAATTTGAAGAAAAAGTAACAGGGGCATTAACAACTCTCACGTCACCTTAAGGATGCTTTTTGAGAAATCAGGAATAAAATTAAGTTGTTTCCCTGTGTTGTGTCATTGTTATTATGCTACTGTTATTATAAATGTTCACACATCAGTACCAACACAACAGAAATCCCCAGAGGTCCATGTTGCTGAGGAGCACGGGCACTAGATCCCCAGGGAAGCCAGGCAGCTGTGACTCAGGGCCAGGGTGACCTCGGCCTCAGATATGTGTAATTCTTCTGTCCTCACTAAGTTGTTTCACTTTCAGAGGAGACAACAAAGGAATCGGAGTAGACAAGATGCCTTTTGATTTAGTACTCTCTGTCTGGTTGACAGGGATATAAGAAAGGAGGATAAGGTCTAGAGGGGTCCACCTGAGACCAAACTGGGATTTAGAACCTTGTCATTTACGAACCTGATGGACTGGTGACATCTCCGTCTATCTGACTGTGTAAGTTAGCATTCTTGGAGCATATGTTTCTGAGTGAAGAAGGAAGGGGAAATTTTGTGCTGGCAGCCTTGAGAAACTGTCAAAAGTAATGGAGAGAGTGGTGTGGTGCCTGCATTCCCTGTGTTCCCACAGAGTTTTCAAGTGGTTTTGAGCCCCTTGGGGAAAGAACTTAGGGCCAGAAACTGAGGAATCATTTTCAAGTATGACTGTGAGATTTCGGGAACATGAAGTACTACTTTGGGCACTGATGACATAGTACAGCACAGAGCTGGAGAAGGGCCCTTCTCTCACCCAGTCAGCCATGGACCTCTGTGCAACCTTGCCACCAATAAGGAACTCTTCTGCCCAGCGATGGTGTATTCTTATATAGGACACTGGTGGCCAATACAGGGTCAAGATAAGGAGGAGACAGCAAAGGAACCCTAGGAACCCAGAGCAGTAGAACATGAGTGGAATTGCCCCTGAGCACCTGGGAGACGCAGCTGAGGATTTCCTGTCATAAATGAGGGAGCCTGGGCTGGGGGGAGATGATTGTTAAATCTTATGTAGGCAGTAATATTAAGGTGAATTCATTTGTATTCACAAACCAGCATGACCTGGGGACATTCAAATGATATTACTTTTAAAATGATATTATGAAGGAGAGCTAGAGAGAAAGAGAATATTTAATGCCTTTGACAGAACTGCAGTGTGAGCCACACTATGTTGAAACTTGATTCAAGAATATTAAGTAGTACTACGTGTTGGCCCCTTGCTAAGGTGTATGGTGGCATTAAGTTCCTATTGCTGAGGAGAGTATTCAATAGTGTTATTTCTGGTTTTTTTGCTTTGAGCTAACACATTAAATTATTAGTATGTTTGAGGGAAATATTGTTATCATGTGAAGTAAGTACTATTATCATCCTCATTTTATAGATGAAGAAACTGAGAACTACAAGGGTTAATTTGTCAAAGGTAACACGGCTAGAAAGAGGCAAAGCCAGGTTCGAAACCCAAAACAATACATGATATTACTTTCAACATACTTTTACTGCCTCCTGCTATAGAGAAAGCAAGATGCACGTTGCATGTTTCTCTGCAATAAAAAATCTACTTTCGGGCAGGCCCCGTGGCCTAGCAGTTAAGTGCGCGTGCTCCGCTGCTGGCGGCCCGGGTTGGGATCCCCCGCGCACACTAACGCACCGCTTGTCAGGCCATGCTGTGGCCACGTCCCACATAAAATTGAGGAAGATAGGCACAGATGTTAGCCCAGGGCCATTCTTCCTCAGCAAAAAGAGGAGGATTGGCATGGATGTTAGCTCAGGGCTGATCTTCCTCACACACACACAAAAAAAATCTGCTTTCTTCATAATTTTGAAAATCTATTTTCAACTCCCATTCGTAAAAGGAAATGAGTCATTTCTCACAGAGAGGATTTAAATGACAGTCCTCCCAATGGAAACCCTGGGTACCCTTTTCTAGGTTTCTGTGCTCAGAAAAGAGACCCTGAAACAAGAAGTGATCCTTACAACATAGATTTGGCCAGTGACTTCTCAATTCTTGCTACAGATTCAGACTGCAGGAGCTCTTGGGTAAGACTCTGGAATCTATATTCTTGTGAAGCACCTGGGTGATTCTAACATACAGCTAAGTTTGACCAGACCATATAGGACAAGAACAATGTGGGGCTCACAAAAAACATCCAGTCTCCTAGACTTAACCCCTTAACACCACCATCTATTGAGAAGGAAATTGGAGGCTGGTATTTAAAATCTACTACATATAACTTCACATTTATTTTACAAAAATTTACCTATTAAATTTAGAGCCTTTTTTCAGTGTTGTTTTGATCGTTCTGAAAATGCTTCAAAAAGCCTCAAGTTAATGATTACACTCATTCACATTTGCTATTATATGTAGATACTTAGAACTTAAGGCTCTTTTCAGCTTTTATATGTATTTTATGTGAGAGAAAAAGAGTCTAATTAGAATAGCATAAATTTATGTATTAATTTTTGGAGAATTGTCATGTTTATGACAGTAAGTTATTCCATCCAAGATGATAATGGACTTTCCCATTTGTTCATATTTTGTCTTGTATTTCCTAAGAATATTTTTATGGTTTTGTTCATATATGTTCTGTACCTTTCTTACTAAATTTATACTAAATTATTTTCTAGTATTTGTCTTCTGAATGAAATGTTCTTCCCATTTCCTTTCTAGGTGCCTTTGCCTGAATAGAGAGAGATTGGTAATTTCTGTAGTTTATTTTGTATTCATCCAACACACTAAATTGTCTTATGACTTGTTTTTTCATGAGAGTCTCTTGGGTTTCCTAAGAAAACAGGCATGTCATCAGCATTAGGAACTTTATCTCTTCTTCTGTTATTTATACCAGTTATTTTCTTTACATTTGCTAGATTCACCAATACAAGGGATTATAGTGATGCCTGTGTGATTCCTGATTTTTAAGTGAAAGATTTAATTTTTGCCATTTAAGATAGTGTGTGTTAGTGGCTTTTCTTTACTATATAAGTGATTTCCTTCTGTTCCTATTTTGCTTTGAGTTTCCCTTGGCTTTGGTTGCTTGACCTTTATCTGATGTCTTTTCACTACCTACTGATAATGGTTGGGGTTTTTCTCTAATTTTTAATGTAATCAATATGTAGATAGACTTCCTGGAATTGAACTGCCCTTTCATCCCTCTAATAAAGCGTGTTTTGTTACAGTGTGTTACTCTTTTTATTCATTCCTCTACTCCATACTCCAGTATATTATTTAAACAGTTGGCATCTATAGTCATCGATGAAATTGGCCTGCGCTTTTCATTGTTGCTGTAGTTGTTGAATTCCTTCTTAGGCTTTGGTATTCGAGTTCTTCTGGCTTCATAAAATTAACTGGAGATCTTTCAATCTTTTTCTAAGACCCACAATAGTTTAAATAATATTGGAATTATGTGTTCTTTAATGGTTAGATTAAAAATTCAGCTGTGAATTCATCTGCCTGCTGACTTTTTCAATAAGAGATCATTAATCACTTCTCCAATCTCTTCTATAATAATTGGTTTATTCAAGTTTTTACTTCTTCTGTGTCATTTGTAATAACATATATTTTCCTAAGAAAGTATTTATTTTTTCTAGGTTTTATTGTTTTTACATTATTGCAACAGAGTCATGTTTAGTATTTACTTAGAATTCTTTTAATCTCTTTCCTATTTTCACATTGTTAATCTTGTCTAATTTTGATTTCTTTCTCTTTTCCTTATCAGGCTCAGTTGGTGTTTATCTATTTTATTGGTCTTTGTAAAGAATCAATCTTTGAATTTATTATTCTTTTCTGCTATTTTATCTATCTTAATAATTTCAGCTTTTATCCTTATTAATTTCCCCTTCAAAGTTTCTTTCATTTTGTTTTTTGCTGTTGTTGTTCTTCCTTGAATTCATAAAGATTCGTAGTTAATTCCTTTATTTTCACCTTTCTACTTCCATAATTAAAGGCAACATATTTTCCTCTGAGTTCAGTTTTACTGTTCCCCATTGCTTTAGCATAAAGTGTTTTTTTCCTCCAGTGATCCTGGGAATTTCAATACTTCTCCTTGCTATGGTCTGAATGTTTGTGTCCCCCTCAAATTCCTATGTTGAAATCCTAAGCCTCCAAAATGATGGTGGTAGGAGGTGGAGCCTCTGCGAGGTACTTAAGTTATGAGGGTGCAGCTCTCATGAATGGGATTAGCACCTTTGTTAAAAAGACTCCAGAAAGATCCCTAGCCCCTTCCACCATTTGAGGACATGGTGAAAATGCTCCTGCTATGAACCAGGAAGAAGACTCTCACCAGAAGGCCACCATACTGGCACCTTGATCTTGGACTTCCAGCCTACAGAATTGTGAGAAATAAATTTCTGTTGTTTATAAGCTACCCAGTCTGTGATATTTTGTTATAACAGTAGAAAAGACTAAGACACTCCTTTAATTTCCTCTTTCATACAAGCCTCATTGCATGTTTCTTAATTTCCAATTAACTTTATTGGACTATGATAAGAAAATGTAATTTGTAAGCTCTCTACTTCTTTGAATTTGTTAAGGTTTTCTTTTTGATTAAGCACATGATTCATTTTTTGTAAAAATTCTATGGAAATTTTTATATATATTCTATTCAAGGAGTAAAATGTTGTATGTTACTATGTAACATGTTAAATCTAGTTTAAAAATTGTATTATTAATTTCCTCTATGTCCTCTCTATAGCTTTTGTTGTTGTTGTTTTCTATTAAATTATTTCAGTTCTGGGAGAAATACACCGAAAAATCTAGTACAATTGTATTTTTATCATGTTCTTTCATTCCTTTTTTTCAAACTGAAATAAAATGTCCCCTTCCAGTCCTAAAAGCTTTGTTTGTGTATTTAGTTTCTTA